AAAAAAAAAAAAAAAAAGAGGGCGAAAAAATTCCGCATTCATTTCGGCTCGCTCTTCTCTCGCCCAGACTTGACCAATTGGCATGTCGATGTCAAAGTCGACTGTGTATCCCCCAAGCCACTGTGCAGGCGGCATCGGCGAAGTCGGCCTGACACACCCGCTCGTGGTCATGCATCTCACCATTGCTGGTTCCTTCTCGCGTCGAAAGTTCTTCCGGCCCAAACCAAGGTTGCAGCCAATCGTTGGCTTCTGCACCGAGTTGGTCGCCATTCATACACCCGGGACAATGGCGACGGCAATGCATCTCGCTTCTCTTCTAGGCCCATTCCACCATTTAGACAGATTGCAGCTTCCCAGCCGATCTTCGAGATCTCACTTCCGATCAGCCTCTCCCACCTCGCTCTCGTCAGTGACCACTCTGCCTGGCAGAACGACAGGTACGATGTGGCTAGTACGCCGATTGTATTCGCTTCGCTTTGGTGCAAGCCATATCCAGGCGCTTTCTGGCGCCTCTAGTCGTTGCGCGGAGGTGTGAGCGGGGGTGGTGGAACCGAGCGGTCTACGCCCTGCGACAAGCTGGTCCACGGGGAACCATACCCATTGCGACGGTCGGCATTGTCGATGGGACCCGGTCGCGACGGCGGACGCGAGGGCGTGTCACTACGGAATCCATGCGACTCGCGTCGACCGTCTGTCGGGTAACTAGGTCTCGTCCATGTGCGGTTGTTGCTGCCCCAAGTGCGGTGCCTCGGTGCATCGCCTTCGTCTCGCTCGTACGGCGAGCCATGGCCCGAGCTCGTATCTGCTCCTGCGGCTGCGAGACTCACCAGCGCACGCTCCACCGCCGTTCGCCTCTCGCCGTTGGCATTATTTTCGTCGCGACGCCATGGCGGTGGACGTGGCGACTGAGGAGGTCGACGCCATCCGCGCCCATTCGGAGTCGGAGACGGACGTGCGTCTGGCGCGGGCGAGCGTGTGACCGCGCGGAAGAGTTCGTTCCCGCGCGACCGACTGGGACTCCGCCCCCCGCGCTGACCCCTCGTCGGAGTTGCCGAACGCTCAGCAGATGCTTCCCAGGTATCGTCTCGTCTTTCACGCCAAGACGCGCGCGAATCCGGAGCGGCGTCCGTGCGGCCCCAATCTGCATCGTCGTATCGCTTGATGTTCCACGCACTCGATTCCCGGCGCAGCGAATAGTCGCGTCCGCGATCCGAACGGTCGGGACGCCCATCATCGCGTTCGTAGCGGCGAGGCGAGGCGGATCGATCCCGATGCCTCGACGGAGCAGCTTCGGACCGAGATCGTTCTCGACCCGGGGTGACTTGATTGGCGGGTTGCCGAGGCGAAGAGTTGCCCTGCGGAGGGTTGCCCTGCGCAGCGCGGGTCGGCGTCGCATTGGCCTGATTGCCGTTCTGTTGCTGCCTCTGCTTCTTGTTCCGAGACGGCGTGTTGGGCATCGCGGGCGCATCGGCGGGCCGCTTGGCTGGCTGTCTAGCCGGCTTGGGTGGCATGGATGGCTTGGGTGGCAGCGGGAACTTTTGGGATGCGGATGCAGCTGCCTGCGAGGCGCGTTTACGGATCTCGGGAGGATTCGACTTGGCACCTTGGGCTGCTTTGCCCTTTGCCTTTCCGTTTCGTGTTCCTTTGGCTGCTCCATTGGCGCTTCCATTGGGTTGCGCAGTGCCCGTCTGCGTGGAAGCTGTAGCTCTTTGGGATGGTGTGGTTGGATTTGCAGCGGCATTGGCCCTTCCTTTTCCTTTCTTGGATGCTGGTGGATTGCGTGGACCGTTGGTTTGAAGCGGCATGGTCTGGGCGCGGCTGCCGTTCGCTGCTGCTTGTGCAGCCATTCTGCCACTGCCACTGGCGCTGGTCTCAGCCGATGCAGCATTGGCAGGAACGGTCACGGCGCGTGCCGTCACATCGTCGTCCTTGCGGTTGGGGAAGAAGAACTTAAAGGGCTGTTTGATCTTCTCGCCCCTCTCCCTGGCGGTGCGCAAGACGCCCGACACTCTGGAGATCAAGGCGGCGGCGGTGCGTCCCCGGAGGAAGTTGCCCTTGATGCCCAAGTCGCCGTAGTTGTCGATGAGCAGCTGGAAGATGCGGTAGCGCTCTTCGGTGTACTTGCGCGTGTAGTAGATGGTCTCGGAGCTGATGATCTCGTTGAGCTTTTCGAACATCAGTCGATGCGTTTTGGGATCCCAGCGCTCCTTTGACGACACTGGCAGGCCGTTGGGACCGATGACGGTGCGAACGGGCACGGTGATGGCAGTCACATCCTGGACGGATTCGGAGCGGCGGTCGTGGACAGGCAAGGCATCTGAGGAGGAGGATGAAGACGAAGATGGCGACGACGATGAGGAGGATGTAGACGAGGAAGAGCTGACGCTGCGTGCGGAGCTGGAGGAGGACGACGAAGAGGAGGAGCTGGAGCTTGACGTGGAAGAGGAGCTGGCGACCGAGGAAGCGCGAGGACGCTGAGGCCGCTGGGTGGTGATGGTCGACGAAGACGCTTCTGCGCGAGGATTCTCGACTTTGGTGGCTGCTGTCGGGACTCGAGTTGCAGGAGTGGACGGAGCGGCCGGAGTGGTCGGTGTGGTCGGAGTGGATAGCTGCATTGGCTGAGTGGACGAAATTGGGCGAGCCAGGGCTTGAGCTACGATGACACCGTTGTCCGCCACGACATCCTGAAAGGCGGAAGGATGGAGCTCCCAGAGATCCTCGCCGTCACTGACGTAGAGCTGCACGCCTTGGGGCTCGACGCCGAATCGACTGGCTGCGACGTTGCGGGCATCGTTGAAGTCGAGCACGGATGCAAGCACCTTGCCATGCGGGCCGAGATCAAGCTTGACGCGGCTGCGAGCCATGACTGGAGGCAACGGCCGTCAACGAACGAAGCAAAAAGTGTCTATCACCAGATCAGCATGGTCGACGGCGGAGAGGAGCGCCCGGCAGATGCTGCGGTGGCGGTGATACAAGGCTGTCCTTAATCCCCTTGATTGGCGTGTGGATGGGTGCAGGGGTGGTGATGGTGGTGATCAGCAAACAAGAGGTGTGAGCAGGTGGGGTGAAGCCTCGAGAAGAGCTGCGAGAAAGACTCGGACGCGGCCACTCGACTTTCGCTTTTTTTCCAGTGGGCGGCACACGCTATTTGGTTTTTTCATTGGAGGTGGCGGAGCGGACCCTTGCGAGTGGAGGCGGCGGCGGCGCGATTAATGACGAGCTGGAGAAAGCAACACCAAGTTGCTGTTTGCTTTCCAATGCCTTCTCTCAAGCGCAAGCATGAAGCAGTCGTCTCTCTTCGTGTACTCTGAAGGTGCTCTTGCTCATGTCGGATGCAAGTGACAGGACGGAGTGACCTGGAACAGGAAGTAAGCTGGGCTACGGCGGTGCGTGAGGCTTAGCAGTGTTTGATCGTGGCTACTCACAAATAGTCCTGTCGCGCCCCGCGTAATTCGATTCCGCGTTTGCGCGCTGCTGAGTGGGAGAGAAAAAAAAAAA